AGCTGGTGATGATGATGATGGACCGCCCCCCGTTCTTCTGTACGACGAGAAAATCACACGAGCCAGCCAATGAACAGACGCACGAGCCTACTGCAGGTTCTTTTGTGCAACAACCACAAAAACTATTCCACCTCCAACTCTAGTAAGAGAAGTGGCCCGATAGGGACGCTTTTTGTTTAAAAAAAAAACTGTTTAGAGGGGGGAGGCAAAACGGGCCAAGGCTGTCCGACGGTCTGTCTGTCTGTCTGACCAGCCATAAATAAGCCAGCAGACTCGAGCCCATTTCACCATCTCAGCACCAAATTGCAATCTATGACGTGTTCACAACAAGTAATATTTTGCCCGAGTTGCCCCAACTGCTACCTCTTCAATCCGTGCTCGGTGCGTCGAGATAGTGCAGCGTCGGTACCCAACTTGAAGCAGGGAAGTTGCTGGCCCTTTGCAACACCGAGAGGAGGCGTCGTTTGATTTTGAACCAAGACAAATAGCCTCGCACGCCACACACCACACACACAGAGCCAGACATGGACAATCAGCAAGAGGGAGACAGACCACAGCGAGGGCGAGACGGCGGGAGAAGGGTGTGCCATACACTGCTGCTGTTAGCTATCGGCGGAGGAAGCGAGAGGAGAGATCAACATTTGGTTGCAGCAGCAGCAGCAGCAGCAGCAGCAGCAGCAGCAGCAGCAGCAGCAGCAGCAGCAGCAGCAGCAGCAGCGCCCTCTCTCTCTCTTTTCACGGGAGGGGCACATTACACCAACAATACACAGACGCTGCTACGCACGACCATTGGTGCGACATGTACTGCTGTACGCCTCTCTACACTTTTGTGCGCGAAGGCCTAGTGTGCGACCAGCGCCTCCCGTGCTAGCCTCGTTACCCATCATGCGCTTGAACGCTTTTGAGATTCTCGATCAAAGCTCGAACCAACAAGCGAANCTCTCTCTCTCTTTTCACGGGAGGGGCACATTACACCAACAATACACAGACGCTGCTACGCACGACCATTGGTGCGACATGTACTGCTGTACGCCTCTCTACACTTTTGTGCGCGAAGGCCTAGTGTGCGACCAGCGCCTCCCGTGCTAGCCTCGTTACCCATCATGCGCTTGAACGCTTTTGAGATTCTCGATCAAAGCTCGAACCAACAAGCGAAGCACAACAGCAAAGACTTTTTTTTTTTGGCTGCTAGCCCTACTTTTTAATATACCACACCCCTCCCTCCCCCCCGGAGTACACCCCCCTCCCCCGCTGTGTTTGCCATCGGGGTTGGGTTTTCGTCGCTTGGTAACGAAGTTGTAAAACAAGCCCCCCCCTCGGTGTTTGCCAACGGGATTAGGATTTCGTCGCTTGGCAACGATTTTTTTTTTTTCGGAGTCCATCACATTGATTGGCGCCCCTCACACCTCAATCAATATGATGCAATACTGCTGTGTAGTAAACGGGCCAATGATAACAGACGCACGAGCCTACTGCACGTATTTTTTTGATGCAAAACAACGTATTCCACCTCCCGATCTAGTATTTTTTTGGCGTTGTCCTCCCCGTGAATATCTTGCCCCTCGCTACCTCACTTGAGAAATATCGAAGGTTGAAAAACGACACTAGGAAAATGTAGGTTACGAAGAAACACAGAGACCAAAAATGTCGGGAAAGCACAGCGACAAAGAGGACACTGCGCCTCCCAAAAGGTCAAAACGAGGCACAACACAACACGAACGCCAAATTCAACCTCACGAGACTT